TATATCAATGCATTGTTATCGACACCATACTGTATATTCAGTACATGAAGGGCATGAAGGTATATCAATTTCACAAAAACGTTTTGGCGTAGATTCCAAAAATAGTTTTTTTTACAATAATTGTAATATTTAAAAGGAATGTTTAACGTTTTAATCAATTTTAAATCGATAATTGAGGATTCAAGAACACACGGTAGGAATATGATTATGTTTTCTTAAGTGTTCACTTAAATAAAAAAATAATAACTTATCGGAAATCATGTGTCAAATCTCTTTGCCGTGAATTAGGCATTGAAATTGAACCAATTTCTCAAATTACTGTGTAGAGTGGGATGTGTTTTGAGGAATGTAAAATTAAAGATGTGTGTACTTGTTTGGCTTTCTAACTATTTTGATCTGAGCGTCACTGATGAGTCTTATGTAGACGAAACGCTCGTCTGGCGTATTAAATGATAAGCCTGGTACCTTTGATAACTATTTACACCACTGGGTCGATGCCACTGCTGTTGGACGTTTCGTCCCCGAGGGTATCACCAGCCCAGTAGTCAGCACTTCGGTGTTGACACGAATATCAATTATATGGTCATTTTTATAAATTTACTGTTTGCAAAAGAATGAATTATTCGAAATACTAAGGATTTTCTTATCCCAGGCATAGATATCCTAAACCGTATTTGGCGCAATTTTTTGGAATTTTAGGTCATAAATGCTCTTCAACTTTGTACTTGTTTGGCTTTCTAACTATTTTGATCTGAGAGTCACTGATGAGTCTTATGTAGACGAAACCCGCGTCTGGCGTATTAAATTATAAGCCTGGTACCTTTGATAACTATTGTGATAATCAAATGCATGACCATAATATGGCAAAAAAACAAATTAAAAAAAAGAGTGTAGGTGCTATTGAAAAGAAAAAAATCGGCACGCATTCACTCTATTGCAAATATTTAAATGTATTAATTCAGGGTGCATAAACTGTGAAGTTTAGGTACTTAAAATTGAGAATGGAAATGGGGAATGTGTCAAAGAGACAACAAGCCGACCATAGAGCAGACAACAGCCGAAGGCCACCAATGGGTCTTCAATGCAGCGAGAAACTCCCGCACCCGGAGGCGTCCTTCAGCTGTCCCCTAAACAAATATGCATACTAGTTCAGTGATAATGGACGTCATACTAAACTCCAAATTATACACAAGAAACTAAAATTAAAAATGATACAAGACTAACAAAGGCCAGAGGCTCCTGACTTGGGACAGGCGCAAAAATGCGGCGGGGTAAAACGTGTTTTTTGAGATCTCAACCCTCCCCCTATACCTCTAGCCAATGTAGAAAAAACAAACGTACAACAGTACGCACAGTAAAACTCAGTTTAAGAGAAGTCCGAGTCCGATGTCAGAATAGGAAACAAAAGAAAATAAACAAAATGACAATAATACATAAATAACAACAGACTACTAGCAGTTACTGACATGCCAGCTCCAGACCTCAATTAAACTGATTGAAAGATTATGTCTTCATCATATGAATATCAGGCACAATCCCTCCTGTTAGGGGTTTAGTATTATACCGTCATAAAATATATGAGAAGAACATAACCCGTGTCATGCCAACAACTGGTTTTAGAATAAATATGTTTAATTCCGATGCAAAGACCCTATAAGTGAATCAATATTAAAGCCAAAATATGCAATCTTTAATGACCTGACAACAGTATCGTAACTATATCCCTTCTTAATAAGTCTATTTAAAGGTTTTGTTAGCTTTTGAGGTGAATACTGACATTTTTGTGCATTGTAAAGAATATTACCATAAAAGATTGGATGTGAAATACCCGAATGTATAAGATGTCTGCATGTTGAGTTATATTTACGAATGATGTCCTTATACCGATGATAAAATTTAGTAAATGTTTTGACTAGTTTATGATATCGAAAACCCTGGTGTAACAGTATATATATGTCATTAAAAATGAGCACATGAATGTGTTCAACAGATCGTGTCCTTTAAAGTATCAGTAACAATAAACTGTATTAAAATCAGGATAAGGTAAATTGTACCCTGACAGTCGTTGCTACGCTATATATTCTGGATTTGGTCTTTCAAAGCTGCCGCAAGACAGTTCAACAACGTAATGGATGCGAGACTGAGGTGTCATATGAGTATTTGCTCTTCTTACGTTACATGTATGTGTGGATTTAACGTCATCTTAATTTTCATAGGTTAAGCCTGAAGCGTGTAGCCGTGTACATGTACTGTAAAGATACACAGAAACCCAATCTAAAAAAAATCAGTTCTCCGAGCTTCCTCCTCGTCTTCGTTCGGGTGTTTAAATGTAGCGTGTGAGCTACAAAGTGCAACATATAAGAGGGTATTGATGGGGTTTACAGAAGAGATGGCAAAAAAAATGAATAGAGAATATTGAGCAAAAAAAAAAAAAAAATAAATAAAAATAAAGAATAATGGGGTCAGTGCAAAGGAATAAAGAATAACTGTGAACATTTAAAGAATTAGGCAATAAAGTACTGATTACAGAAATGAACCATTTACAGAATAAAGAAATCATGTGGTAACAGATACATCTAATAGTAAAATGATTATTATCAGAATTTTACAGAATAAGCATTACTTTTAAAGATAAAGAAAAATTACCCAAAAAATTAAAAAATACAGCAATGAAAGAACCCCCCCCGCCCAATCCTCATATTAAAACAACCAAACGAAAATGAGGACTCGGAAAAAGCGGAGAACTAATTTTAATTAGATTCCTCAGACACATACTTGTCTTAATCTCTGCTACAAATAATATTTTGGCATAAATTATTTTAAGAAGTATGATGGAATTCTGGCACATGTCATATTGAAATGATATTGCCTTTACCTCAACTTTACGCTCACACATGTAAACCTATTATAAGTATGTTTCTCCGTATCACAACAAAATGTGGTATGTTCATTCGTGATAAGGAGCTCATGTCCATCAGCAAGATGATTGAACATGCATGTAACCAACGCTTGAGGTGTTTCTGCATGTCTTTGTTGGTTACAAAACGGGCAGTCTTCCTTGAACTTTTTCAATGATGTCTATGTCTCGTTGTAATCAAGGGTCCCAAACAGAGCAAGCATACCCTAGTAATGGTCTTACTATTGGGACTTGTAAGCCTGCTCTTTAATTGGCGTTGAGCTAATATTCAGGTTCCTCCTTAGAAAGCCTAGAGTGCTGTTAGCTTTGTTGCATATATTATTTATGTTTACTTCTCTTTTAAGGTTATAGAGTTGATGGGTAAATCCAGATATTTTGCTAGTGTAACGTATTCTAGAGAGTGACTGTGCAATGTGTAGACTGTAGTTAAATGTGATTGTTTTTTAATGTTTGGTGACTGAAATAACCTTACAGGATGAATGCATTTCGACGTAGTTTCCCATGATGCAAATTTGTCAAGATATTGTGTAATGACAACACGGTACACAAAACATCATAAGAGTAAAAAAAGTACAAGGCATAATATACATATATGTACTAATCATGCAGTTGTCTAGTCCGGCTCTCCTCAGTGACCATGACTATTTAATGAATGGAGCACCATACTTCCTAACTAACTAACATGATCATCCGTATCATCTAGTACTAAAAAGGGACACGTGCAGAGTATCTGTGTACACACAAGTCCCTTTGACAGAAAGTCAGCAGATCCACCCCATAAAATAATAATGATTCAGTTAAAACAATTCTGGCCAAAGCGAGTAAAATTACTGCGTCGAAAAAAGTGTAGTTGCTGCACGGTTAAAATCATATGAAAAAAGGTTTTGCCGTAGATATGGCTATTATATATTATTTATTGTTTTATATACTTGAGTGGCTAAGTTTTACTACAAAACACATTTACATAGACTTCCTTTTAAACGAAAATCCTTTATCTTCTCAAAATCTTCAGAAATGTACTGCTATTGAATTATTGTCTTCCGTATTCACAACTTGCCTATAGCTTTTCCGCATCGAGTGACCTTAACCATGAGACCTCTCGTTAGTATTTCGGCAACACCAAAGCGCAAGTGCGAGGAAAAAACCGCGATGGTAAACAAAAGTGGAAGTGAGTGTTAATTGAGTCTGAAAGAAAAATTTTAATACATCAAATCATTTAACAACTGTTCTGACAAAGTTTACTTAACAAATACAAACGCATGGAAAACATGAAAAATAACATCGTTATATTAAAGTTGAGAATGGAAATGGGGAATGTGTCAAAGAGACAACAACCCGACCATAGAACAGACAACAGCAGAAGGTCACCAACAGGTGCATGTCTATCATCTCACTTATTTTCACGTGTTCCATGACCTTTTTGTTTGTTTATTAAGGTCACGTTTAGTAAACTTCGGCAATAAACTATGACATGAAAGTTGATTAGTAGGCAATTTTTTTCACTGAATGAAATATCTTTTATCGATTATAGGTTATGGTTTCGTAATAGATGTAAAAAAATCGTGTATAGAGGACTTAGTTTAATATATATACATGCATTGGTTCACGGATGGAAAATTTTAGATACCGGTAGAGAGTGGCTAGCCAAGCCTTTCATGCATGTTCCGCCTACGAGTGTTTGTAAATAACTGTTGATTAACGTACTGCTACAGTGCATTTTTATTTACCAACAAATGAACATGAATATTTCAGGTAAACCGTGCATGACGTATATGTGTTATGACATACAAACATAATAACCAATCAGTGAAATAAATTGTATTCTAAGGAAAGGTCGAGACTAAAAGACAATCGTTGATTGACAGAGGCCGGCATAAAAGTTGCATTTAAAGTAAAAAAAAACAATATTTCTTAACTTGATCAATATTTGTTTAAAATAGATATACCTATGTTTTTAAATTACAATCAGTATATACACAATGTCATTTAAGTCCTTTGTTCTGTTTCACTGTGATAAGTAACTCATCTTAATTCCCCCATACAAATTACCTGTTATTTTCCATGCTTGAATGATTTGACGACTGATTCACTATTATTTACACATGCTAGTCATGATTTAAGGAATACCTGTATTTCAATTATTTCATTCTGTACCTGAAACTTGCTGAAAGCAGTCACACATATAATTGATTTTTGGAGATACAATTCTATTGAACGAGATAAACTTCGTAACACTGTCGAATCATGTCGGTGAGTCACATTTTAAAAGCTTATTACAAAAAAAAAAAGAAAAACAACTTGTAAGAAACAATTTGATATAGTTTTTAATTTTTCTTTTGTTCGTGCAAGACTTTGTTTATAGTAGTCAGGTTGAAATTTTAAACATTTCAACTTATTGATTTTAAATTAGTCAAAGGGAGGCGAATGAATCAAAAGATACCAAGTATATATATATATCTAGCTTTACTTTGGAAGTTTTTTTTTGAACGGTGGATGAATTTTATCTGGATATTTACAGAGGCTGTCTTGGTTGACAGTAATCCCATATCTTAATTGTTAAAATAATACTCATATATAATACCATGTTTAGTATATCTCCGGTAATCATCATGTTGTTACTAGATTGTACATAGTTAGTAGATTATATTTTGCTAAAAAGAGGTTGTTTCGTTAATTCGTATTTAGACTCTCCATTCTAAGTGTATTTTATGCTAATTGAAACAAAAAAAACTTTTGTTGTTTACAAATATATAAACCGTTTTGCTGATTTACATGTGTGCCCGAGGACAGGACAAGACAATTCACTCTATTTTTATATTGACTATGCTTCTGAGAGTCCTTTTTCTAAATTGTTTCTTACATTTTAGACTTATTTTACTGGTGTATTATTCAAATCAAGAATTTTACTATACAAATCCTTGTTCAAATGCTGTCTGCTTAAAGAAATAAAAACAATAACAACATTTATTTAAAGTGCCAGAATGTCCTCGGTTTATGTTCTTTCAAATGATACCAATCTATTGTGTGTAGGACGCCATTAAATCATGAAACCTATTGAAATATAAGAATTTAATGTTGCATGACAATGAACTTCGTCTTTTCTCTTCATAGCATTATGACAAGCATTACTGACGGTCAGGAGATTTTAATACTTTTTATATTTAGAACTTTTGTTGTATGTGGCCATTTTTATTGTAAATTACCTACTAGGATTACTGTATACGGTAATTGAATAGTAATTTGCTCAAATGACTCGGAGTTGTAAAGTTATTCTTAGTTCGCAGTTGGCATACGTTTTCTACGGCTTTACAATAGGTGTATAGTTTAAAGTATTAATTCCAACAGTCTGACTGTAGTTCTATTCAAATAGACCCTGTATGTTACCAGAAGTGTTAATTGTATATCTTTGTCATGATAACAAAGTAATGTGATAGTTCAGTCGCTCTGGCACAATAACCCTGAGAATTGTGTTATTGTGTTATTTCATGTTACATAAGTTAATGTAATTTACCTCTTTTATTTGGGAATAAAATCTAAATGACAAGCCGACCTAGTCTGGGGCTTATAGATAAAGGGTCATGACTTACTTAACTTAATCCACTTCGTCCCAAGGGGGATATAGGGCAACAGTTTTTCTCCATTTCTTCCTGTCCATGGCTGTTCGTTTTGTTTCTTTCCAGGTCTTCCCAATTTTGCTCAGCTCAGTTATTATAAAGGGTCATGCATTTCATTGTCACGCAAAGTTTACCTGTAAATGTCTGTTTTTGGGGCAAACTCTGTCTAAACATTGGTTTTCAATTTGTCATGTAAAATAAGAAGATTTGGTATGATTTCCAATGAAACAACTCTCCATCAGAGACCAAATGACGTAGAAGTCCAAAATTCCAAATTGATATTGATAAAACATATGTCAATGAAGATGATTGAATGGTGCTGAGAGCTAATTTTCATTTCCATAATGTATTGTGTATTAGTTCCAGATAATGTGAATAACACCTCAAATCAGGCATTTGTTTATAGTGGTAAAAATGCTAAATTTGTGTTTCATTATTATGGCTGTCATTAAAGATATATTTTTGCACTTTTTAAGCTATATCTCGTTCGGCTAAAGTGTCCCATCCTGCTTAAAAATTTTGTCTTTCTGACACTCTAAATGCATTTAACTTTTATAATCGAGTGAATGCTAGACCTTAAACTTTTTCCAGCTTCACAGCTTTGTCTGTTCTAAGAATAATTTTCGAAGTGAAAACAGTAATTTTGTCAATTGTAATGATCGTTAAGACAATCAGAAACTTTAAATACTGTTTTATATCTTTCAATGTATGATAATTAGTATATTTCAAGATATATGAATGGCCATTTGTTTGCATTAATTAAGTTATTTAAAATTTCTTTTGATACCGCGTATACATTACAGCAAGAATGCACAATTAGTTCCAATTAGCATGTCGACATCCAGTATCCAGATATCGAATCGAAAAGAGTGACATTAGTAACCAAATCGTGTAATTAAATAAATCTGATTTTTTTAACAAACCAGATACGGATCTTTAACATCTGTTACTATCTATGACATACTGTATTTGTCATGAAAAAAACATGAATAATTATGTTACCAACCGGAAATTTGTATATTGTGAAATATACTTAATGATGGTTTTATTTCTGTGACTAAAGGGAGGGGCCAAGTACATGTCAATGAGACATCCTCCCCCTAAAAAACACTGTTACTAGTGTTTCGAATGAATAAAAATATAGATACAATAAAATGATTAAACGGGAGTTGTGGGGCAGTGGCGGAATCGGGGATGTGGGCATAGATGGCGTACGCCCACCCGTTTTGATTGGAAAACTTATAATTTTAAGCACAAGATCGTCATATTAAAATTAACATCGGTCCGCTCTGCTGTATTCATTCTTTTTTTCTGAAATTTTCGCCCCATCACAAATCCTGGATCCGTCCTTGTGGGGTGTATGTCGATGTAACGGCAACTCAACGACATAAATTGAAAAAAAATAACCAAAACATAACTTTTCTTCATACAGAATCTTATTTGTATGAACATGAGATAACTTTTACATGATTTTACAAGAATCGTTAACCGCTATAGAATGTTTGGACAAAATAAGATACAAAAACAGAATAAGACAAGTGTACTGCCGTTTAGGTCCTGGTATGTAGGATTTATGGTAAACAATTATTGATAATTGATAAAAGGTTATTAGTTATGACAAGGAAATATTTTAATTATTAACATTAAGATACACATTTAAATTTTTGGTTGCTTATGATTAAACCAAATAAAATTATATTCATAAGTGCTATTATATATGAAATAAGGATTTATCTATGTGCGGTATTTTCTTGTATCATCACATATTGGAAAGATGTTGAATTGAGGTTATTTACCCTCATTTAAACAGCAAGAATTTAAAACCCTGGTCAATTTATATCAGAACTGACTGTCATCGTCAGAAAGCTTCATGACTGAACTTTTTTTTTTTAAATTTGGAAAAAAGTTTTTTTTGCACCCATTTAAGAACCAACTGTATTGCCTTAAAGCTTAGCTTATACAAGTCATCGGGGCCTCAGTGGCCGAGTAGTCTAAGTAGTTCATCTACTGTATCACTATAGCTTGTCAACACTGGGGTTGTGAGTTCGAACCCCGCAAGGGGCAGGTGCGTTCAACACCCATATTACAACAATTGTCAGTTTTCTTGCCGAAGGTCGATGGTTATCGCCGGGTATTCCGGCTTCCCCCCTCCCCACCCCCCCCCCCCCCCCCCCCACTAAAACTGACCGCCACAATATAGCCTATAGTGCTGAATAAAGTGGTGTTAAAACCAATTATCAATCAATATATGCAAGTCCTCGAGTAACAAGATGGAAATATAGAAATTACTACAAGTTACAAGGGTATAATTGTCTTGGAAAATCCTATATACTGGGTTTTTATAGGTTCTTTTAAACGTACTGTAACCTAAAGAACTAGTTGAGATAGGAAGTACCTGAGAATCTAAAAGTAAACTCTGATCTTATGATGATGGACAGTATTGCTACAATGACTTCCGTGGCACTTTGTTCCCGGATGTCAACTTAGGTTAATGAAATAAATAAATGTTGTAACACACCTTTTTAGGAGTAAAATAAAATATGTAAATAGATGAACGATGACGTGTTTTGTAGTTGTATTTACCTGTTTAAGATGATAGTGTTGATACATTTAGTTGAAATTGATTTCATATCATATATATGTAGGTTTTAATGAATCTAGTGAATTTATCTTAGTTCACTTTCAAATTAAAGTTCACCCAAGAAGAAATTTGTTCAGAATGCGTGAAAAGTGGGTGGACACTAAAAGAATCAATAACACATAATTTTGATCTTTGATTGAAATGTCTGATAAATAATTAAAACAAAGCTGTATGAAATAGACGTAAAGGCTGAACAAAAAACTTCAATTGTAGATGGGGACATAACCTTATAAGTATGTAACGAAGCGTGCACAAAATGATCGCATTCCAGTTTATCAGTGCAACTAAATTGTACCCCTCCTCGTCCAATAGTAAACCCCAAGGATTGACTGGGGTATTAAAATGCAGAACATGTTTTCTGGACTTCTCCCTACCGGCAGTGAAACCCATACTAAAGAATGGCGTCCTTTTGACTATGACATAATGTCTGATATATAAATACAGCCACTCTCAGTCGTTATGGGGTAGATAAATCGGATCCTCGTGCATGTAGGACACTCGACACGTGAACTTTTGAAACTTCTATTTTGGAAAGGTTCGTTTAATTCGTAGATCGCCTGCTGTAAGGCAAAATACATCCCTATTATATAACCAACATGTCCTAATTTTCCAGTTGGCAGACGAAATTCTCACCGTTCATCCCGACATTTGCAAAAGCTGGCTACCTATTGGATTTATTATTAATTTGTCCTGGGCTTTATAACGGTCGGATGCATAGCCAAAAAAGATCCCCTCCCGAATATGCACAAACAATTTGCCACTGGACGGAAAGCTATAACAGGACAACAAACAATCAATCCAAAATATTTTTGCTGATTATGACAGAACAGTAGATTTGTTAAACGTTTAGCGCCTGAAATGAATTTATTCAATCGCCTGTCAAAAGTGTGCAGGCATTGGACAGTTTCTAGGGAAATATTTTGTTCATTATGTAAAGTCAGGCATTGAACAGTTTCTATAGGGAAATATTTTGTTCATTATGTAAAGTTTGTCAA